TGTAGAAAGGAACGCACTACTGGTACTGGTCACAACGTGGATGAATCTCAAATGTGTGAAGCTCAGTGATAGAACCCAGTCTCAAAAGGTTACATAAACGAACAAAATAATTTAGTCAGCATTCTAAAAAAGACAAACCATATAGATAGCAAACCGACCTGGAACTGAGTAAAGGAAGGGTTTTCGACAAAAGGGCACAGAAGACATTTTGGGGGGAGAATTGTTCAATTTTTTGATTGTGGTGGTGGGTACTTGACTGTATTTGTAAAAAATGGATGAAATGGACACTTAAAATGGGTGACTTTTGCTGTATGTAAATTATACTAGAACTTTTTTTTTTTAGATTTATTTTATTTATTTATGCATACAAGAGCTCAGGGTGTAGGCCAGGGTGAGGAGGGGTAGGGGTGGTGAGAGGATTTACCAGAGACAGAGTGGGGAGCAGAACAGGCAGACTGACTGAAATATACTGCTGAGGGGAGCAACAGGCGAGCCAGGAAAGTTCTACTTCACCATGTGGGTTAGCTCCCTGGCCAGGGGACTGAACACTGAACAGCTGCAGTGGCTGCTGATAGCTTGATAGTGCTGAGCCTTAACACCTTGTGCCACTAGGGAGGCCCTAGATTCTAGTTTCTTGACTGTGAATACAGCACTCCTCCCTGCACTATAGCACTCCAAAATCATAGTCAAATCCTAAACCAAAGCAGAAGGTTAGGATATTTACCTTGATACTTAGAGTAACTGGGTTTCAAGTTCTGCAGTTGTCCATACTCAGTCACTACCTATAACATTTTTCTATAGAGCATCATTGTCCAGTAGACTTTTGTGGTCATGGGAATGGTCTCTACTTCTACTGTGTAATAAGGTAGTCACTAGACTTATATGGCTATAGAGCTGTTGAAATGTGGTGACTGTGACTGAAGAAACGAATTCTCAATTTTATTTAACTTTAATTAATTTAAGCCTAAATAGCTATAGAGGGCTAATAGCTACCATATCGGAGCACGCAGCTATAGAGTTTTCTTAACTTCATTCACACATCATCTTAATGATCTTTGCCAGATACGTGTACCACTAATATTATTAGTTACTTCTTCTTTTTTCATTGAGTCCCTCTTACAACCAAAAGTATTTTAAAATGAGAGTTTATATATGAAAAGGTACTCAAAATCACTCATTATCAGGGAAAGGCAAATTAAAATCACAGTGAGATTTCATATCACACTAGGCACCTAGAACTTGAATACATTGGGGGTGGGGAGTATGTTGTTAAAATTATTTTGGAAAATCTTTTGGCAATATCTATTAATACATAATATATTTATATCCCATGATATAAGAATTATACTTCTGGAAATATACCAGGAGGAATGAATACATATAACCATCAAGAGATGTATGAGAATGTTTGAAGCAGCTTTATTCATATTAGTAAAAAAAAGGGAAAAACTGGGCCTCCCCGGTGGCGCAGCGGTTGAGTGCTGGGTTGCGAAGCTGCCCGCGGCTGCAGCGCCAGTTCAATCCCCGGCTGCTCCCCGGCCACCAGAGGAGGGTCCCACATGGCGCGCAGACCTCTCCTGCCACCCGCTGCTCCCCTCAGCAGTGTACTTCGGTCCTTCTGCCTGCTCTGCTCCCCGCTCTGGCTCTGGTGAATTCTCTCACCCTCCCGCACTTCTGACTGTACCCAGTGCATGTATAAACAAAACAAACAAACAAACAAACTAAATAAATAAATAAATAAAAAACATGCCTCTGTTTAAAAAAAAAAAAAAAAAAGGGAAAAACTCAAATGCCCATTAGGAACAAAAAGGATAAATTTTGGTAAATTTCTACAGTGGACTATCACACATCAAGGAAAAGGAATAAACCTTTACTACCTGCAATGTCATAAATTAATCTCAAAAACAATGTTGACAGATAGAGGTCTATGAAAGAGTGCATTTGATATAACTCCATATATATGAAGTCAAAAAATAGGTGAAACTTATCAATGGCAAAAGCTCAGAAGCCTGGTGACATTTGGAGAATTTTTAGTTTGAATGAGCTTACTAGATGCTAGAAATAGTCAATATCTTGAACTGGGTGGTAGTTACATGAGAGAGAGAGACAGACAGACAGACAGATAGATAACATTTTACTATGTATACATATTTAAAATTTCATCAAGTTGTACACTTAAGATATGTGCATTTGGGCCTCCCCTGGTGGCACAGCGGTTGAGTGCTGGGTTGCGAGGCTGCCCGCAGCCTCTGCAGCACCAGTTTGATCCCCAGCCACCGGCGAGGGTGCCACAAAAAAAAAAAAAAAAAAGATATGTGCATTTTACTACCCATCAATACAAGTTACACCCTGATAAAAACAAAAAAGTAAACAAAGTACAGTAACTCAAGAATAATCTTTATATCATTATCTTACCTAAAAATAAAAAACTAGAACATTTCCAATACACATAGAATATAGAACTCTGAAAATAATATGTTCATCTATATACCATCTAAAGTTACTCCATGTACACCAGGAATTCAAATGCCACACATTGGTTAATGCATTCCAGGCACTCTAGGGGTTTTATAAGAGCTGGTACTGGGATACTGGCAACCCAGGGAAGGGCTGGGGCCAAGAGTGAAGTGTGTAGCTAGGATTAAGCCTTGTTACCAACCTGAGCTGGGGTTGGGGAATGCCAAGGCTCTGCTTCAAAGAACAAAGTAGAAAACTGGAAGGAAGGAAGGGGGGTAATGAGTTGGGAGAGGGGGCAAAGAAAAAGGACCAAGGGCATTTTCCCTCATGGTCTGGCCCACAGCCCAAGTCCTAGGCTCTTGACCTCACCAGAGCAGCAATAAATGTAAAACAAACCAATCGGTTTCCAAGTGGGAAGAGTGCCAGCCATGATTTTTGCTGCCCAAGGAATGAAAAATCAATAATAATCATTCTTACGATTCATGTTCATCCTGTTTTATTCCAAAGCACTTTACCAAAAGGCCTTTTGGCTCAGCCAAGAAGTTCAGGGCCATGAGCCAGGGCACCTGGACTCCAGATCTGTAAGTGGAAGATTTGGAACTTTCTTCCGGCCTAAGTTTCTCCCATTGTTGGGGCCAGTGACATTTTTGGAATAATGACAGTTTTTGCATACATTATTTCACTTGACCTCCTACCCCTGGTAAAGAAATCAGAGAACATAGGGTTGGCGATTCTTATATATTCCTTATAAATAAGGAATTAAGATTTATAAGATTTATAAGATTAATTTATAAGATTTTAATTTTAAGATTTTAATTTTAATCTTAATTTATAAGATTCTTTATAAATAAGGAACCTGAAATGAGGTGAAGTTATGAGACTTGCTCAAACTCACAATGTTTAATGGGAGAGGGGAAGCTGAGAGGCTGGGAGGCCGGGATTCTGACTCCAAACCCTTTGCTCTTGGTAACCAGTGAAAATCTGAAGGGCACGCCCTGAACCCTCCAAGGAGTATGAACTGACCAGATCCTATACAATATGCCGTGTGTGTGTGTGTGTGTGTGTGTGTGTGTCCCCAGGCCAGAGCTGTGTGTGTGTGTGTGTGTGTCCCCAGGCCAGAGCTGTGTGTGTGTGTCCCCAGGCCCGAGCTGGCTTTGTGGGGTCGGAATTTGTACAACATCAGCAAATGATGAATCAAAAATTAAGAACAGCGTCTTGTAGGGCCCCTGCAAATGAGGGACTCTGAAGCTTAAACTTCATTAGCTTCAAGGTGACTAGGCCTTTCCGACATGCCCTGCCCACTAAAAAATCTGGACACACCAGGTCTTGACAGGGCTTTTTCCTCCCTGTTTGCGAAACGTGGCAGATGTGGGCTGTGAAGGTCCTGGGAAAGGAATCTCATTTCTCCCAGGAGACAAAAGGAATTATAACAGCGGCAGCCGCTGTGGGAGGATAGAGAAAGCTGTGTGTCAGGGGGAGTCCAAGGGGACCGGAGACCCAGACGGCCCAGATGCCGGCGGCGGGAGGGCTGGCGTGGGCGCCCCGCGGCGTGGGCGCCCGGAGCAATGGCGCGGCCCGGGAGCGAGGGCCCTAACCGCGGGCTCGCCTATTGGAAGCGAGCGCTCTTCACGCGGCCGGGTGGCTCCCGGCGTCCTGATAATCCTCCCTCTGAGGAGGGGAGGCCGAGACGCACGACCGCGGCCGACGGCGGCGGGAGGGTGGCCGAGGCCCCCGCCCAGGCCTGTCGCGCCCCGGCCTACGGGGTGGTGGAGTCCGGGCGGCCCCCGCGGCGGCTGCCGGGCCGCGGCTCCGGCGGCGGCTCGGCCCGGGGGCCGGGCTCCCCTCTCGGCTCCCCGCCGCCGCCGGGGGTGGGGTGGGGTGGGGTGGGGAGGGGGCAGCGCCCGCGGCCTGCTTTCCCAGGGCTGGCCGAGCCTTTTTGACAAGCTGATTGCGTGGCGGGGATTGGCTGGTCCCGGCGTGACGCCGGTAACAACAAAGGTGGAGTTGGAAGAAATTAGATTAAAGGAGAGGGAAAAAAATTAAAGGGAGCCGGCTGAGACCGAGGGGAGATGCGCGAAGGCGGCCTCCCGGCTCCGACTTCGCCCCGGAAGCCCCTCGGCGCGAGCCCGCCCGGATTCCGCCCTCCACACGCGCTCCGGCCCGGCCGCCGCCGCCGGGGCGGGAGGAATGGCCGCTGCTCCTCGAGAACCCCCCGCCCCAACTCCCACCCTCACGCCCTTTGCTGCGGCCCCGGGGGAGAACTTTTTGCTTGGACTCCTCGTATCCTAACGCGGCAGAGGTGAGGGACCCCCGGGGAGGCCCGTCCAGAACCCGGAAGGGCCTCGCCGGGCGCTGAGGCCGGACGAGGCGGGCGCGCCCCCGGCTCGCAATGTGTTGCCAACCTAAGAGCTTCTTTCTTGCCTTTTTTTTTTTTTTTTTTTTTGTGTAATACCCCCCTCCTCGGGCTCCCCCCCCCCCTTTGGCTTCAGGGTTGCAAAAGCAAAGAGCAATAAAAAAAAAAAAAACACGCACACACTCAGACACACGCCAGTGGCGACAGGGGAGAGTTGGAAAGACGCAGGAGAGAAGCGGGAGGCAGGCGGCGCGGGGCGGGCGCCCTGGGCGCGGGGAGCGGGCAGGTTTCCTCGCAAATCACCCTCCGGCCTCACGTCGCCTCGCCGGCCCCGGCAGGGGAGCGAGGAGCCGGGCGAGCAGATGGAGGAGTGGAGCTCGCTCTAGGCAGCGGGCTTGGCCAGAGAATGGAGGAGCCGCCGAGCTACCGGCTGATTGGAAGAGAAACGCAGAGCGATGGAGGCGGGGGTAGGAGGACGATTTCTCTGCGGGGACTGGCGGCGGCGTATACGCCCGGGTCGGGCGCTGCAGAGCTTGGCTGGCTTTCAACCCGTGCTCGCCGGCTCCAGCCCGCGCGCCCCCACCCCCAGCCTCGCGGCGGCCCCGCAGGTGAGTGCGAGCTGGGGGCGCAAAGACCCAAAAGTCTCCACACGCCCGCCCTGCCAAAAAAAAAAAAAAAAAAGAGGGAGCGAGCGAGGGAGAAAGAAAAGCATTTTTTAATTTTCGTGCAGCCCCCGGCGCGGTGGGAGGGAAGGGGTGAGGCCGAGCCGCCGAGGAGGCGGAGGGCAGGCGCGGCCGGCGGCCCGGGAGGCGGCGGCGCCGGGGCGGCTCTGACGGGCGAGCGCTCGGAGCGGCGCTGCGCCGAGGCGGGCGGAGCGGGGCGGGCGGAGCGCGGCGCGTGGGGCTCGCCATTAGCCGTCGCTCCGCTTCGCCATCTCGGGCTTTGTCTGGCGACTCGCGGCCCCGGCGGCGGCTGCGGCCCGGCTCTTCGGCCCGCCGCCCCCCAGGCGCCCCCGGCCGCGCTCCCCTTCGCGCGCGCGGTGAGTGGGCCCCGGCGCGGGCATTTCGGGGGACAGGGGTTCGCGAGCGGCGGCGCCGCCGATCCGCACGCGCCCGGGCGGGCCTGGGGGCCATGCCGGGCTGGATGGAACCGGCTCCCGGAGGCGCCTCCGCCGGAGCCCGCGCCTCGCCGCCGCGGGGTGGGAGAAGAAAGGGTTCCGGGGCTTGTTTTTGGGGCTGAATTTTTTTTTTTTTTCCAATTTGCAGGGCGGGCATTTTGTAGGGGCTTTTTTTTTTTTTTTGGTTTCGTGTCTGGGCAGCGCGGCAGCGCCGGCCGCGAGGTGGGCGCCCCGGCCGGCTGCGTGCGCCCGGGCGGGCGGCCGCGCTCGGGGCGGAGGGTGGGCGCGGGCGGCCGCTCGGAGGCGGGAGGCGGGAGCGGGGCCGGCGCGCGGGAGCCCGAGCCGGGCCGGGGGACCCGGGGGAGCGGGGGAGCGGGGCAGCGGGCGGCCCCCGAGCCTCCCAGCCGCCCGGGCCCCGCTCCGGCCCGCTCCCCGGCCGCGCCCGGCGCCTCCCTCCCGCGCGGCCGGGCCCGCTGGCTCCCCGCGGGCGGGCGAGGTCGCGCTCGGCGCCCGCCCGCCCCGGCTCCGCGCCCCGCCGCCATCCGGGCGGCTGCGTGCCTCCAGCCCCGGCCCCCCCCCCGGCAGCAGCGGCCGCCGCCGCACCCCCTCCCCTCTTCCTTCCCTCCGCCTCGGCCGCCCGGGTCCCCAGCGCCCGCCCCTCCTCCCAGCTGCCCCCCGCGGAGCCCGCCCGGGCAGGCTGTGGGAGGGAGCGGAGCCGGCGAGGCGGGCGGGCTGGCGCTCGCTCCCCGGGGGTCGGTGTGCGCTCTACGGGGAAGGACGCGCTCGCCGCCCCGCTTCTCCCGCCCCCTCCCGCTCCTCCTCCTCCCTTCTCCCTCCTCCTCCCCGCTCCGGCGGCGGAGCTGCGGCGGCGGCGGGGGGTGTGCGAGCTGAGGCCGGGGCCGGCGGGCGGCGGCGGGCGGGCTGCCTGCAGGCGGAGGGCGCTGTGCTTTGTGCTTTTCGCCGCGAGGAGCAGCAGCAGCCGCCACAGCCGCCGCCACAGCAGCAGCAGCCGCCGCCCCAGCGCCGCCGCCGCGCCCGGAGGAGGAGCCGCCGCCGCGGGAGGGAGCTGCGGCTGTGCCCGGCCGCGCGGGGGAGGCGCCGCCGCGCAGAGCCGGGGAGGGAGCGCCGGAGCGGGGAGCCCGGAGGCCGCGCGGCGCGGGTAACCGAGGCGGCGGAGGACGCGGGCCGGGCCGGGCGGGCGCGAGCCGGGGCGCGGCGGGCCCGGAGGGCGCCGGGCTGACCGCGGGCCGGGCCGGGCGAGAGCCGCGCCGGGCCCGGGGGAGGACGCCGAGGGCCGGGGCGGGGAGGGCGGGCAGGAAGCGAGGCCCGAGCGGGCCCGGCCGCGGGCGGAGGAGCCCGCGCTCCGCGGCGCCGGCGGCGCAGTTCTCGCCGGCCGCCGGAGGGGGCGGCGGGGCCGGGGAGCGCGGCGCCCCCGCCTCCCGGCCGCCGTCCTCCCGCCCTCTCCTTGGCTCGGCTCCCCGGAGGCCGGGGCGGGGGCGCCGGCGGGGCTGGGCCGCAGGCTCGGGGGAGGAGGCGGCGGTTCCCGCCGCGGTCGCGCCTCTGCGCCGGCTCCTCCGTGCGCGTCGGGGCGGCTGGGCGGCGGCGGCGCCTCCGGCCGGGGTGGGTGGCGCGGGGGCGGGGGGCAGGGCCGGCCGCTCCTCTCCGGCGGCTCGTCCGCCCGCGCGGGCGGAGACGGCGGCGGGCGCCCGCAGGGGGGCGGCGGGAATCCGGATCCGGTCCCCGGGGGCGGTGCGGCCGCTGCGCTCCGGGGCTGGCGGCGGCTGCGCTGCGTCCGGGTCCCCGCCGGGCTGCGGAGGCGGGGGGAACCGGCGGGGGGAGGCGGGAGGTGGAGACTGCGGCGCGCGGCCGCCGCCACGGCCGCGCGCGCCCTTTACCCGCCCTTCCTCCTCCCCCGCCCTCCAGCCTGGGGCCTCCCCGGGGCGGGCGCAGGGAGGAGGAGGAGATTTTTTTTTTTTTTTTTGGCCCTGGGTGGGGGAAGGAGGGCGGAGGGCGGGCGCTGGCGGCACGCGGGAGCCGGGAGCAGTCTCTCGCGTGGGCAGGGGAGGGCGCACGCCGCGGAGCCGGGCTGCAGGGGCCGGGGGGAGGGGGTTAGGAGGCGGCGGAGGGGCGCACCCCCACCGACCCATCAAACTCTGCCCGGGCCCGGCAGGGTCTCTGAGAGTGTGGACTTGTGCCCCCTCCCTTCTGGGGGAGGGAGAGTAGAAAGTCCCTCACCTCTAGGCCAGCGTGAGTGAGCCCTGGTATCTTTTGTAAAGGGTGAGGTGGCTTTGATCCCGGGGTGCCCGGCCAGCACGACCGAGGAGGTGGCTGGACTGGCTGGACGGCTGGAGAATGAACGGAGAGGCCGACTGTCCCACAGACCTGGAAATGGCCGCCCCCAAAGGCCAAGGTAGGAGTCCCCAACCTCAGTCCTCTTTAACTTCAGCCCCCTGTTACCACCAGGCTGTCTGCAGGCCCCACTCCCTTTCTAAAGGGTTCATCCAGTCTGCCTTCTCTGACCTGAGCTGGGGCGAAAGGTCTAAATTATTTACCAAAGTCAAGCATCCTTCACACTAGGGGTTTTGACTCAGCCCACATTATTTGGCCTTGAGCCTATAGATGGTGTTTTCACATTCTCGTCCCCCCATTTAGCTAGAGAGAGGGAAGTCCAGTTACACCTTCCTTCTGGGGTTCCCAGAGCAGGGTATACGCCTGGCCCAATGTCTTAGAGCGGAAGGCATGGCAAGAAGCCGCAGACCCAGGAGACTTGTGGGCTTTTTATAATTGTTCAGAGAACAAGATTTTTGGTGAGGCAGGTGGAAGTAAAGGGCGTTTGGTGGTTTGAAGCCCCAAGCCATGGGCCACACTGCTTACCGTGTCCAGTAGAGAGATCCAGTGTGGACAGGGCCAGGGTGTGGGATGCACTGAGCATCTGGCAATGCCTATGGGACACTGGGAGGGGAGAGGATTATGGGTCCATATGACCTGCTCTTTGGAAACTCTGGCCCCGGTCATAAGATGCACATGCAAATGAAGAGCCCTCTTGACTCCTGGCCCCGTGGCTGTCTTCCCCCAGCTCACCTTCCAGTGTCATCACCCTCCAGAGGCTTCACTGGGGCTGCATTTCTGTACAAATAGTTTTATTTGTATGTAAACAGCTAGTCCAGACCCCTTTTATTTTGCCTCCATAGGGAGATGGGCTGAGAATATAATTCAGAATTCTGAGGGTTCTCCCTGGAGTAGGACCTTGGCCCCCCACCCCCCACCCCCCCAGCCCCCCAGCCTCACAGCTGCCCTGCAAGGTTTTTTCATTTCCATTCAATTTTTCTCTTAGTTGACCAATACTTTCCTTTGGTCTTTGAGGGGACCCCGAGGGGGCGGGTGATGGAGTATCCAGGTCTCTAATGTTAATTTCTAGCGAATTTTTAGTTGTGTTGGTGAGAAACATCCATGTGGTTTCTCCACACTGCCCACACCCTATTCTCAATCCTTACACATTTAGGTATCCACCTAGAACTTGGACTTGAAATTGGTGACATTTAGATGTGTTGGACTTGAAATGGACTTGACATTTAGACGTGTTGGCTCTCTGCTTTTTCCCCTCTTTGATAAGCTGCCTGTTTTGCCACAGGGTGCCCTAAATCACAGTAGCTTCCTTCCCTGTCTTACAATAAATAGTGGCCCTTGGCAGCTTGGCATGTCAGAAGTAATGTTAGCTTTGAAGTAAGCCAGACATGAGTTCAAATCTAGCTTTCTAGGTGTGACCCTGTCTGGACTGGGGTCCCTGCTCTAATCCTTGTGACCCTAATTTTTCTTTAGGGCTAGACCATGTCTTGTCTGTGCCTTCAGATGGGAGGTAACTAGTGCCTGGGACCTTCAGGGGAGGAAGGGTTGAGTACCTAAGAACCGGGGAACGGATAGGGGGATGACATGAACCTTGCATGATTGCCTTTGTCACCTCTCACCAGACCGCTGGTCCCAGGAAGACATGCTGACTTTGCTGGAATGCATGAAGAACAACCTTCCATCGAATGATAGCTCCAAGTTCAAAACCACCGAGTCGCATATGGACTGGGAAAAAGTAGCATTTAAAGACTTTTCTGGAGACATGTGCAAGCATAAGTGGGTGGAGATTTCTAATGAGGTAATTAATCCCCCTTCCCTAATAGATATCCACACAGACCCTTGCCTCAAGCTTCCTGGTGGGGGAGACGAAACAGAAGTCTGTAAGGAGGAAGGAAAGAGATCAAGCGAGGTGCTCATGCAGCCACCTTCGTGCATTTTGGGAGATGGAACGGTTGACAGGACTGGCCCACTGTTCTCAGTTCTGTCACTTTGCTGTGTGGCCTTGAATACTTACCGTCTCAGAGCTTCTGTCACCTGAGCTGTTCGGGGGCTTCAGTAAGGTGCTGACATGGACAACCCAACCTTGTTGGTATCCTCTGGTGGTGTGTACTGACTGCCTGGGACTCTAGCTGGCATGGGGCAGTGCCTGGGTGTCTGCCTGGGTGCCAGGGGCTGCTTGAATTGTGCGGCCATTGGCCTCTGCCCCCCTTCCTTTGATAACTTCGGTCTAGTGGAAAGTAGTGGGGACCCACTGGAAAACAGTACAGTACTGGGTGGTATTTCCGTTTTCTGAAATTCCCCTTCCATTTATCTCCTTTTTTCCTCCAGGTGAGAAAATTCCGCACGTTGACAGAACTAATTCTTGATGCTCAGGAACATGTCAAAAATCCTTACAAGGGCAAAAAGCTCAAGGTGAGTGTCGGGGAGGAATCTGAGGGGTAAGAGAGTGGTCCAAAGAATGGATGGTGTCTAACTTTCACCCTTCCATTGTCCCTCCTTCTAGAAACACCCAGACTTTCCAAAGAAGCCCTTGACCCCCTACTTCCGCTTTTTCATGGAGAAGCGGGCCAAGTATGCTAAACTCCATCCTGAGATGAGCAACCTGGACCTAACCAAGATTCTATCCAAGAAATATAAGGAGCTGCCAGAGAAGAAGAAGGTGGGAGGAGTGGAAATACTGGGAGCAGCTGGCGGGACGGAAACGGGGTGTAGACATGGGACATGGGCAATTCAGCAGCACAGAGTAGGGTCTTGAGCAGCCACACCTCTCACCCCCTCCCAGGCCCACACACCATCACACTGGGCTGAGGCAGGCACTCGGGCCCACCTTTTGCCCCGTGGAGAATTCATAGCGCTCTTCTACGCACGTGTCCTCGTTAGGCTCCACTGCAGCTCTTCACCCTCCCAACATGGTTCACGTTTGATGTTCACAGTATCCTCATAAAGGTAACCCCAGAGGAGGGGTTATCCCGATTTGATGGGCGAAGCACTGAAGTGCAGGAGGGTATCATGTCCTAGGCCACACAGCTAATAATGCTAGAGCAGGACTTGGGGTGAGTGCCCCGGACCACCTGTCTAGTACTCTTCTCACTGTCATGTCCACGTGTTAGATGGACTTCCTTCCCCAGGCACACCTGTTCACCCAAAGACACACTTGTCCCGATGGCCTCGTGCTGTCCCAGACCATCAGAGACCCTTGACTTGGGGCAGGGATGGACACAGCCATCCCTGTGAGGGCGAGTGGTCTCTCACACAGATAAGCAGCAAAGCGTTGGAGCCTGCAGATGGGACTCGGGTGAGGTGAGGTAGGGACAGCGATGGACAGAGAGGAGATACTGGGTGGGGAGAGATGTTGGTGAGATGGGAGGCACATCTGCTAAGAAAGGAAACAAAAGTGTGCGTGGCCAGCTTTCTGGTAGGGGCACTGGTCATTGTTCTGTGAATGGCCCTTTCCCTGGTCGTGTGTCCCCCTGACTGCAGCTCACCTGCCATGGGTTCTGTACCCACAAAAGCTCAGAGCCAGCTCAGCTGGGTAAAACTGAAGACCAAGCTGAGCAGGAGTGGGAATCGCTGGAGCTCTCCTTGACACCTTTGATGGGGGATGTCCAGCGTGGGCTGGACACACACTACCCAGACACTCACAGGATGGGGGGAGAGGCAGAGGGCTCAGCTCCGGGGAAGGGCAGAAGAAGCTACGTGGTAAGGTGGACAGGGTGCTGGCCTGGGGACACATGACTTGGGCCTGTTCTGGCTCCCATCCAGTTGCTGTAGCGTGTCCTGAGGTAAGTCGCTCTGCTTCTCCAGGCCTAGTCTTTATCTGAGGTACGGAGGGAGGGTGGGCCTCAGCTGTGTGGTACCTTCCGGCTCTAAAAGCTGCTGTTTCATCTGTGGAGGACTGAGACGGGCCGAGGAGACTGGGCTCTGCCCCGAGGAAAGTGAGACTGCCATCCTGCCTGCCCCTGGTGCCCGTGAGAGGCAGGGATGCGGCTCGTGCACAGTGAGCCCCTGGCTCTTGTTGATCTAGGAAAGTGATGGAGAAAGGAGAGGTGAACATTGCTTGGGAGCCAGGACAGGATGGATGGGGAACAAAAAAAAAAAAGACTGGAAAGGAGGGAAAAGAGTGAGGAGTGTGGAGAGGAAGGCAGGATGCCGGGAAGGTGGTGGAGAGAAAGGGGTAGACGAGGTGGTTAGGGCTGCCAGGTAGCAGGGCAAGGGGGGAGGAGGCGCAAGGAGCCGTGTAGCAAGGAGCCTAGATGAGGGGGTTAGAAGCAGGGAAGAACATGATGGCTGAAGAGGGGAGGCAGGTGGTGTCAGACTGTGAAGGACAGCTAGACACCCAGAGCGTGGATGGGGGAAAAAATTCAAATTCGGGAGACAGGTGCATTAGGATGGTTTGTGTTGCAAGAGTGCATCCTGGATTCTCTTCAACACAATCTCCCCTGGTGCCTTGCAGGGCAGGACTTGGTGTGACCCAGCCCTGTGTACACCTCTTGATGGGCAGGCCAGTGCCAGCTGGGCTGCCAGACAGGAGAAAAGGGAGCAACGGGCAAGACTTACACCTCCTGACTCCTCATTATGGGAATTGGGGGGGGTGGATCCCGGCAAGGGGAATCCTAACCCTGTTGCAGCTCAGGGGGTATGACTGCTTAGGGTCATAACCCCCTGGTGAGACTCTGTACCTCTTTTAAAGAGGGAAGGGATTCAGATGTGTTCTGGGAGGCCCCTTGTGTGTGGTTCTAAGCCAACAGTCTGGGCTGTGGTTGAGTCTCCCCAACCCCCCAGGAGGCAGACCCTCGTTACCTGCTAGCTCCCACCATGCTCTGTTCACTCACGTCACCAAGTGGACAGCCAAGTAGCTAGCCAGGAGGACTCTGGGTGGCTTTTGTAACTCAGGCCTTGGGTTGTGGATGACCCCGTGACCTCCTCCCCCCAGATGAAATATATTCAGGACTTCCAGAGAGAGAAACAGGAGTTCGAGCGAAATCTGGCCCGTTTCAGGTAAGGCAGTGGAGCCCAGAGGTGGGCCACAGGGTGCTGGGTGTGGCAGGATAGGCTGGCACTGACCAGAACCTCAAGCTTGCCTTCCCTGAGGTGTGGAAGGTGGATGGGTCACCTGTAAGACCCTAGTGGGCCAAGCTCAAGGGTAGGGATGGGCAGGCAGCTGCTGTCTTACAAAGCCCAAGTAGGCCTAGGAACCTGGTGGGTGGGGCAGCTAGCTTGGGTCTCCCTGACAGGATTCCCCCCTCCACCCGTTGATGATTGCTCCCCACACGCTGGATAGGGAGGATCACCCAGACCTAATCCAGAATGCCAAGAAGTCGGACATCCCCGAGAAACCCAAAACCCCCCAGCAGCTGTGGTACACCCATGAGAAGAAGGTGTATCTCAAAGTTCGGCCAGATGTGAGTGTCCGGCCAGGGGGTGGGGGTGGAGGGCGTACAGCGGTGGTAAGGGGGGAGCCGCGCCAGGTCGGCTGGGCACGCACGGTGCAGGGGAGCAGGAGAGGAGGCCCCTCCCCAGGGGTGGGCTGCATGGACAGGGCCTGGGCCAGCTGGCGTGCGAGCGTATGCGTGCGTGCGTGTGTGAGCCTGTTCCCTTGCACCCAGGCGGGACCCCCGCCTCTCCGCCTTCCCCTCCTGGCCTGTGGGGGACACTCATGTGACCTCCTGTGGCCTGAGGGGGCGGGGGCCTCTGTGACCCCCTCCCCCCGCCCCTGCCCCTGCCCCTGGCTGCCTGTGTGTGTCTGACGGCTTTTGGTTTGCAGGCCACTACGAAGGAGGTGAAGGACTCCCTGGGGAAGCAGTGGTCTCAGCTCTCGGACAAAAAGAGGCTGAAATGGATTCATAAGGCCCTGGAGCAGCGGAAGGAGTACGAGGTTAGGCTTCCGCTGCGCTCCTCCCCATCCGGCTCTTCACGAGCCTCTGCCCTCTGACTCTGGCCTCCGCACTCTGCGGGAGGCAGTCACTCCCCATCTCTCCATTGAGGGAGGGGCCTTCTGGGCCCCTCGCCTCTGTCTCTACTCCCCCCCACCCACCCATGAGATCGCAGGCTAGGGCAGGGCAGGGTACCATGTCTCGTGTGGCAGCAGACACACGGCCACCCCCAGCTTTGCTCCCTGCCTCCCCCTCCCAGCGGCTCTCCCCTCACCCCGGCCCCAGCTAACCCCACACCCCGTTGGCCTCCATCCCCCCACCTCACTCTGCAGGAGATTATGCGAGACTATATCCAGAAGCACCCCGAACTGAACATCAGTGAGGAGGGCATCACCAAGTCCACCCTCACCAAGGCCGAACGCCAGCTCAAGGACAAGTTTGATGGGCGACCCACCAAGCCACCTCCGTGAGCACTGCCCTGGGTGGGTGGGTGGGCAGCTGGCAGCTAGGAGCTGGACTGGCAAAGGGACTCGGCCCAATGTTTGAGAGTAAAGAGGCCTGCTGTCTGGGACTACCCTGGTTGCTCACTGGGGTGCCCCTCCCTTCCTGCTGGTGTTGACAGGAACAGCTACTCACTGTATTGCGCAGAGCTGATGGCCAACATGAAGGATGTGCCCAGCACAGAGCGCATGGTGCTATGCAGTCAGCAGTGGAAGCTACTTTCTCAGAAGGAGAAGGACGCCTATCACAAGAAATGCGACCAGGTGAGCTCTGGCCGGGAGAACTCCTGGAGACTCCTGGCCCCTGACTGGGGCATGGAGGCCTGAGGTCTGACCTAGCTAGGGTCAGTCAGACCCTGGTCAGAGGTGCCTTGGGCTCTGGGAAGGGGAGGCAGGGAACTAGGTTCAGCATCTGGGCTGATCAAGGGCAGACAGTCTCGGGCTCCATGCTTACACCTGTTGGAGGGTGACCAGAGCCTCGGTGAGGCCTAGACAGCTTGCTGTGGGCTGCTGTTCCTCTAGAGGGCCTCCAGTGAAGCTGCCCTCACACTGACCCAAAATCCTCTTCATTTCCCAGAAAAAGAAAGATTACGAGGTGGAATTGCTCCGTTTTCTAGAGGTGAGTCCCCATGGGTGAGACTGTGGACAGAGAAGCCTGGGGATTGGTGGGCAAGGCCTTTGGGCCACCCTGGGAACAGGCATGCAGCCCGTGCGACCTCTTTTCCCTGGACCAGAGCCTGCCCGAGGAGGAGCAGCAGCGCGTCCTAGGGGAGGAGAAAATGTTGAACATCAACAAGAAGCAAGCCACCAGCCCTGCCTCCAAGAAGCCCTCCCAGGAAGGGGGCAAGGTAGGCAGGGAGCCAAGTTGGGTGGGGAGAGGACCAGGCTCCATCAGCACTGGGTGGACCCCAGCCCTCTTTGCACGTCTACAGGGTGGCTCAGAGAAGCCCAAGCGACCCGTATCAGCCATGTTCATCTTCTCTGAAGAGAAGCGGCGGCAGCTGCAGGAGGAACGGCCGGAACTCTCAGAGAGCGAGCTGACCCGCTTGCTGGCCCGCATGTGGAACGACTTGTCAGAGAAGAAGAAGGTCAGACTTGCCAGACCAGAGGGCCTGCCGGGCTCCAGCCTGGGCCATTTTGCCCTAAGGGCGAGCTGCATTTCCTCAGCCGGCTACACGTGTGTCTGGGCTCAGATGGTGGGGTTGGGAGGCCAGCAAACCCGGAAGGCGGGAAGCTGTCAGCTGAGGGCAGTTGGGTCTCTGGGGAGCTGGTTGATGATGCTAGAGACATGTGCAGCAGCCCTGGCCTCTGCTTGCCTCCCTCTTGCAGTGTGGGGGAGAGCTGGATGGGGATCGCGCGCCCCCTGGGGGTGGCCAGAAAACTTACACCCTGTGCACGCCTTGGCAGGCCAAGTACAAGGCCCGCGAAGCAGCACTGAAGGCCCAGTCAGAGAGGAAGCCAGGTGGGGAGCGTGAAGACCGGGGCAAACTGCCAGAGTCACCCAAGAGAGCCGAGGAGATCTGGCAACAAAGCGTCATTGGCGACTACCTGGCCCGCTTCAAGGTGGCAGGGAGTGGGAAAGGGGTGGTTCTACAGCTTGCCCATGCAGGCCTGCTCCAGCCCCAGATGACCCTCCCACAGCTGACGCCTCTGTCTGTCCCCAGAATGACCGGGTGAAGGCCTTGAAAGCCATGGAGATGACATGGAACAACATGGAGAAGAAGGAGAAACTGATGTGGATTAAGAAGGCAGCTGAAGACCAAAAGCGATATGAGGTGAGAAGGGGGCTGCTGGTTAGCAAAGTGGGGCGGGATGGAGGGGCCACCTGCCTCCACAGAAAATCTCAAGAGCCCTGTTTGGGGTGGGCAGCTTTCCTCACTGTGTGGAGCTTGGAGCCGGAATCCCCAGCCTTGGTGGTTTGACCCTGAACAAGTCACTTCCTTCTCCAAGGCTCAGTCAGGCGTCATTAAAACTGGAGTGACGATACTCATCACGAGTGCGATTTTGAAAGCACTTTTCATCAGCAGTGCCCAACACAGGTGGGAGTTGTTAGGAATTGGCTCCCTGGCAATGCCTCAGTTTCTCCCCCTTCCTTCCTTATGAAAGGAGAGTCAGCAACGGCACTAATGGCATGGGTCAGACTGTTTTGGGAGCTGGGCTGGGGTGAGTGACCTTCCTGGGTTTCCCTGCAGAGAGAGCTGAGTGAGATGCGGGCACCGCCTGCTGCTGCAAACTCATCCAAGAAAATGAAGTTCCAAGGAGAACCCAAGAAGCCTCCCATGTGAGTCTGGGGGCTAGACCCCAGCCTGGGGGTGGGGACAGTCAGAGCTAGAAGGTTGTATGGTTGGTATCCTGACTGTCCCTGCACCACCTGCACCTCCCAGGAATGGTTACCAGAAGTTCTCTCAGGAGCTGCTTTCCAACGGTGAGCTAAACCACCTGCCACTGAAGGAGCGCATGGTAGAAATCGGCAGCCGCTGGCAGCGCATCTCCCAAAGCCAGAAGGATCACTACAAAAAGCTGGCCGAGGATCAGCAGAAGCAGTACAAGGTGCACCTGGACATCTGGGTCAAGGTGAGAGGGCACAGGACCCTTGGCAGGGATAGGGCGGCACTGTGCCGGCTGGGGTACCTTCACGATCTCACTAGGCCGCCCGTCTATCCTGCAGGGGACCTTAATGCCCAAGATCAGGCATTAGGTAGCTTACTCCAGGTCACATCCCCAGGAAGTAGGAAAGTCCAAACCAAGCTGCTTTTTCCTCCTTCATCTGGGACCAGAGACCCCCTCCTAGGCTCTGGCTGACCCTCCAGCCTCTGAGCTCCCAGCCCCTGCGTCGTTGAGGAGTTTGGATCTATAAAACAGGGAGAACCACCTATGTCCCCGCTGCCACCCTCACAGGTTGGCTGAGGACCCAGGGAAACAACAGGGTTCAGGTGTTCTAGAAGCCTGGCAAGCCCCAGGCTTGCCTGGTCCATAGCTCTGGACTGGTGCTAGAGTGGGAGTGATGCTCCCAAGCTAGGAGGCCCATATCGGGGCTCCCCCCGAGTGGAGGAAGACCCCGACTCCGAGTCCGCGTGTGGTTAGAGCAGCAGGAGAGACATGCGAGCCAGAAGCCTTGAGACAGGGCAGCTTAGAGAACGACTCAGGGCATCTGAAGCAGAAATACTTGGAGTCGTGTTTTCAGATCCCAGGGGCTCTCCGCAGAGACCCAGGGGATGGGGGATGGTGGGGGGCAGGCAGGGGTGAAGATGTGATCACGAGTCGCTCAGCCCTCTGCATAGCGCTCGGTTGCGGTGTTTGTGTGGAGTCCAACCATCACCCCCTCCTGTCTTCCCCAGAGTCTGTCTCCCCAGGACCGTGCAGCGTATAAAGAGTACATCTCCAATGTGAGTCCGGTCTGGGAACAGGGTGGTGGGGGAGTGATGGGGAGATGGGGGGACTGTGGGACTCACGATTGTTCCCTTTGTGTCCCCATCCTCCGCTGCAGAAACGTAAGAGTCTGACCAAGCTTCGAGGTCCGAACCCCAAGTCCAGCCGGACTACCTTACAGTCCAAGTCGGTGAGGAGCCCCTCCAGGCAGCTGGGTGGGGGGGTAGGGCGGGACATGACAGACACACTCACCATCGCCTCCATCCCAGGAGTCCGAGGAGGATGACGAGGAGGACGACGAGGAGGACGACGAGGAGGAGGACGAGGAGGAGGACGGGGATGGGGACTCCTCCGAGGACGGCGGGGACTCCTCCGAGTCCAGCAGCGAAGACGAGAGCGAGGACGGGGATGAGGTGGGTGGCGGGGCCAGTGGGAGGGGGAGGGCGCGGACCTGCAGGGACAGCGCCTGGTAAAGCCCCCCTCACCCCCCAGAACGAGGAGGACGACGAAGACGACGACGAGGAGGACGACGACGACGACGACGAGGACAACGAGTCGGAGGGCAGCAGCTCCAGCTCCTCCTCCTCGGACTCCTCGGAGTCGGACTCCAACTGAGGCTCGCCCCACCGGGGCTCCCCCCACTGATCACCTTTGTTTCCCCCCCATGTTCTGTCCCCCGCCCCCTAGGCTCCCCCACTTTCTTTCTTTCTTTTCTTTTCTTTTTTTAAACAACATATGGTGGGGGGAGGGGCTGGAGGAACCCAGGCCGGGACTCTGCAGCCTCAGAGACTTCAGCTCTGGGGGGCCTCTGGGGGGTACAACTGGCAGCCTGAGCCACCACTGGACTGGCCCAGCCGACCCCTCTTCTGCACTTGTGGCTCCGGCGTGGACAATGGACCTAGGAGTGGGGTGGGGAGGTCCCAAAGAGTTTAGTGAGGCCCTGCACACCTGCAGCCCAGCCCCTGGGTGGGTGGAACGTGGCGGGGGGGAAAGGACCCTCCCCAGAGGGGCTTGCTGCCTGGACCCCTGCATTGGAACTGGAGGCAGGGAAGAGGTGGGGAGAGGAGGGCGGGTGCCTGTGAGAGAATGGGCGCTGCCCCACAGCCCTCTCCCCTGCCCCCTGCAGGGAGGAGCTGCCTGGACCCACTCCTGGGGGGAGGGGGCAGAAGTGTTTTTTATATATGTGTATATATATTTTTTTTTTAAGCTCTGAGCTGTCAAGGAGACGTTTCCTACCGATCTCGGCTGCCGTCTCTGTTGTCATTTCTGGGAGAGGGAGGGTTTAGGGGGTAGGTCTGGGACTTTTTTAAAACGGTCTTGATGCATATGGACAAGTGTATGTGTGTGTGTGCGTGTGTGCGTGTGTCCTGTACATAACATGGGTGCACCTGTGGATGTATGTGTGTGAGTGTGTGAGAGAGAGAAGGGGGCACCCACCTCAGTCTGAATCTGTAAAGGGGTTGGTGGACCAGGGAAACACTGGTCCTGGTGGGAACAGGCTGGGGTGGCCCCTTTCTCTGCATCCTCTGCTTTGCCTAATATCTGGTTTTGGGGGGTGTACTGAAGCCACTCACTGCTTCCTATCCCGGCTTCCCTCTGCCAGGGCCACATGACTGTGAGCTGCTGCTGGTCTGCCGTGTCCGGCAGGATGGTGGGGAGGGGACAGACAGGGTGAACCCGAAAGCTCTTACTTGGTCGGCAATGCCTCGCAGCTCATCCCAGGCACGCCTGGCCACCCTAAGCGCAACCTGGGCTTCAAGAAATGTGGTGGAAGCTCTTACCCTACACCTCTCCTGCCTTTCCTCCTTACCTCCCGTCCCTCTTTCCTTTGATTTCTCAGGTCTGCTCCCTTCCCCACTCCTAAACCCACAGCTGGGGAAGAGGTCTGCAAAAGCTGCTTTTGCAGCTGTCCCTCTAACCCTTTCCATCCATCCCCAAATTTTTGGAACCCTGGTTCCTAGACTCATAAGAAGCCAAACCACCTTGTTTCTCTGGATTTAACATTTTTGTTCATAATTAAATTTTGGCCTTCTCCCCCCCCCCCCAATCATGTCAGTGACCTATTTAATAGGGTTTTGTGCTTTTCCACCTTCCTCCTCTGAATGAAAGCCATGGGGTGGGGAAGAGTGGGAACTGCCTTGGAAGTGGGGTGGGAACGGTGGGTCCCTGCTCCCAAAGGGAGGCAGACAACTTGCCTTGGACATGGTGCTGGGGGTGGGGGAGCTGGGGAGGTACACTCCCTGCTCCCACTCCCCTTCCTTTGTCCTGATCCTGGAATTAGGTACAGGGGCTCATAGCTTCTATTCCCCAGGTCCCCTGCAAAGAACCCCATCTCCCTGTTTGAATGCCCCTGCACTGTTGTGTTTTAGTGGAATGTGTTTTCATTTGAAAGCAACTTTGGGGCACTTTTTTTTTTTCCTGTTTTGAAAATTGAAAAATTCTTACAGTACAAACTGGGCTGTGGGAGTGGGGGTGTTGGTGCTGTAAGAGGTCACTCTGAGTGCATTTTGGCACTGGGATGGGATGGCTGGGGTGGGAGGGCCCCCACTCCCCCCCTTTTTTTTTCTAATATTTAAGGAGTGTTTTTGTAGGTTTCAACAACAGCAACTTGAATTTGTATCATGGGAGGTGGGAGGGAGTGGCTTAGAGGTGTCTGCCTAAGCTTAAGGCCAACTGTGGAAGTTTTTGTTTCCCCTTTTTTTGTACAATAAAATGAAAAACAAAGGTTTGCCTACTGTCTGGTCACTGGAATCAATGAAGGTTGAGGGCAGGGGTGGCCCCACAGGTTCAATGTAGAAAGCCAGCTGTTTTACCCCTTTCTAGAACCTTCCTGAAGGTTCCATCAGTAACCTACATTCATATTGTTTTGTGCTACTATTCTTGCACTTTCTTAGTTTGCTTACCTTGGGTTATCAGATCACTAGACTCTGAACTTGAAGAACAAATATATTTCTTGCCTGGGAAATTGGGGGTTCTTGAACTGTTAAGGTAGGGTTTGCTCCAGACAGTTGGGGTAACCCTTGCAATTTTAACCCTAAGTGTGAACCAGGGTTAGAAACAACTTTCTCAGCTCCACCCAGACTACAGATAGGAAACGTGGCTGGGCCGAGATGACTAGCTCTGTGTGGTCAAGGAAGACAGCCTTCCCTGCATAGGCCTTGCCTGGCTTCCTGGACTACTAAGGGCCGAAGATCCAGACCTGTCAGAATTTTCTCTTGCTGTCACATTGCTCTCCTTGGCCAACCTTCTGAAAACCTCATTGTTCCCCTATGGTCTCCCATTTCCTCACCTCCCACTCAATGGTTCCTTCCAGGTGACTTTAAAGTCCCCAACATGTTCATTGTCTCTCTTGCCATCTAAGTATTAGATCTGCTGGTATTAGAGCCTTAATTCTACCCTTCTTGCTCTATGAACCTCCATATTACCCAAAACCATTCCAAAAGGTGGTATCTACAGCGACCGCTCTTCCAAGCTACAGCCCTCTGCAGACGCCTGTATATCCTCTGAGAGAGCTTGCCGACACATTATACCTCAAGATGCAAAATAACCACCAATCATCTAGTTATTCAGCCCAGAATCCGGGGCATCAGCTTTGAATCCTCTTCTTTCAGCTACACCTTCATTCAGTGGCCATGACCTGTCCATTCCACTTCTTGTATCTCTCTGAAATCTGTCTATCCTCTCCACTCCTGCCCCCACATCCTGTTTAATGCTTCCATGATGCTCAACTTCTGCAAAGACCTAAAACACATCTTCCTACTTGTGCTCTTGTCCCCTACAGTCAATTCTGTACACAGCAGTCAAAAAGTTGTCTTTTCAAGACAAATCTAATTACTTCTGTACTTAACTTAGCGTCTCTTACCACGGCCTAACGCTGTTCGGCATTTCACTTCCACCTCCTCTCATCCCACTCTTCCTAATCCAGCCAAGTGATCGCCCATTTGTTCAAACGTGTCTACCACAGGGTCTTTGCACTTGTCCTCTTTGCCAAAATGCTATCCCTCCAACACTTCACATAGCTGTTTTTCTCATCCCTCAGGCCTCAGCTCAACTATCACTTCACAGACAGGCCCTTCCTGACCACCATTTCGAGAGCATTCTCTCTCCTATATTTCCATATTTATACATCTGTTTACTTGTTTATTGTCTATCTCCCTCTGTAGAAGTTGACCCGCTGACTCGTTACAGAATTCCCATCCTCTAAAACTGCCCAGCATCCATCTGACACTCAAAAAAATCATGGTGAATGAGTAAGTATGCCCCACAAGGCCCCGGGTGATCCCCTGCTGGTCTCTGCTCCAACTACACCAGCCATCCATGTCTCAAAACACATACCCCTTTGCCTTGTGTATGTATGTACACATAGCCATGCCCTCTCCCTAGAATGTTTCTCTTCACCTCTCTGCCTAATGAACTCAAGGTGACACTATTGGGGGGCGGAGGCAGGATGTAGGGAGGAAGAGTTCTTCCCTAACTCCACTGATGAAAATATCTCTAAGTCATTTGTTTCTTCAGCAACCTGTATGCCTTCATATTCAGTCTTTATTTATTTTTTATTTTTTTAAAGATTTATTTATTTATGCATACAAGAACTGGGGCACAGGCCAGATGTGCGGGGGGGGGGTGTGTGAGAGGATTCACCAGAGACAGCGTGGGGAGCAGAACAGGTAGAATGACTGAAATACACTGTTGAGTGGAGCAGCAGGGAAGCCAGGAGAGGTCTGCTGCGCCATGTGGGTAGCTCATGCTGCAGAGGCTGTGGATATCTTCACAGTGCTGTGCTTAACCCCTTGAGCCACCAGGGAGGCCCAGTCAGTCTTATTTCTTTCACATCAGGCTTTGCCGGGCTGTATACTCTGCTAGGACAGGGTCTGTGTGTCTCTGTAGATCATTGCTATAACCCCAGGGCCTCACCCAGAGCCTGGAGGAGCACAGTCCTTACTGTTTATTGACTGGTGCTAACTGTGGAGATTGGGCATGTGCCCAAAGTGGTCATGACCACAGAGCAGCGCAGACCAAGTGCCAAATGAACAGTATAACCCGGTTGTAAAGGAGTTTGGTGTGAGGATGGCCATGGGTGGGGGAATAAGGAAGGATTAAGGTAAACAGGGAGGCGACAGGAAGGCTTCTTGGGCATATGTAAATTCCTCAGAGCAGGATGTACTGGGCATATTTAGAGACTAAGAAACAGATCAGTATCACCAGCGTGGAGAATTCTGAATTCACACTGTGGACGTTCTTAAAAGCCTGGTTCCTCAGTCCCTTGCTCGGGACCCAAGTTAAACCAACTTCTGAGAGTTTCCACAACTATACCCACAGGAAGTCTAACATATCCCAGATCGAACTTGCCATTGTGAATCCTCACATATTCTCAAAGGTACCAGTTTGGTTAAAGGTGTTTTCAGAGCCTCTTTCGTTTACTCCATTCACCTCAATTAATACTAAAAACCCTTCTCCTAGGTATTATCCAAACGCCGCACTCCAGAGTGATTGACTTAAAAGGCAAGTCTTTTCAAATGACTCCCCATATTTACTTCTCATAGCCTCTAAGGTTAAAGCCCACAAACTCCTCAGCACATCAGTAATTCCCTATGTTCTGACCTGCTTACCTCCTGCTGCGTCCTTACCCGTTGCTATGTTATAACTAGTTTCCAGACTGCTCCATGATCTGAAAGTTTGCTGTCTCAGATGTCCAGTGCCTTCCCAGCCTTT